TACAGCCCAAAGGGGCTGTCCTACCCATCCTCTGCCCCTGGCTTGGCACCCGCAGCTCTTCCTTCCTGCCATCATCTGCTCTGGATGTTTAGTATCTTTAAAAAGCACAGGGTTTAAGCCATTTAGGAAATCTGAAAATTATATGCAGCCTCTCACACAAGTGAGCATATGCATGTTTTTTACAGTCGTGGGTAATATAAAATTGTATAAATACATATGCTTAGTTAAGAAAGAAAAACTGGGAAAATATTTAACATAAACTTCTAGAAAAACCAAACAAAAAATCATAATGAAACTCCCCCTAGAAAAACAGGCTGAAGTGAAGCAAAGCAAAAAAAAAAGTTAAATTGAAAAATAAATATTAATAAAAAAGAGAAACTTTACAAGATGTGATCAATATTATGAAACTGAAGAACTAAAGGGAATAAATTAAAAGTGATAAATCTTTTAATTTAAAAATTCAGTTAAGACATCCACATTAGCCTGCTCTGTAACGGTCTGATACAATCATGATGAATTTATGCATGTCAGTTCTGGGTTTATCATCCCAGATTGTACTATGCTTACTTTTAAAGGCACATTTAGTTTCTTTCATGTGTTTTCCCCTTATAGTACAACTCTTGAGTTAAGGTTGTGAGCTCTAGCCTACAGGAACATTAATGTTAGCGATGTATGAAAATACCTACAACATACATCTGATTGAGGTACCCGGTCTGACACCCCATTTCCCTGAGCCCTTTAGCATTCCCACGTGGTAACCTCATCACTCGTCCTGAAGGGAGGGGGTCTTGGGAGCCAGTGATTACCTCTCCTTGAGCAAGGCTTTTCGCCAGCCCCCACACTGAAGCAAGTGCTGGAGATGGATTTATGCCAGTTGGAATTTCTTATCTGCAATTCAGTTATCTCTTCATCATCAGTGACTACCGCCTCCTTCACCTGTGACACAAACAAGCCAAAAAAAATCATACAGCCTTTCCTTTTGTAGTCATATCACACTGTAGGATGATACTGATTCTTCAACCCGTCTGTAGCAAGAACAGGCTTGTGGATAACTTCAGACCGTATTGATTCCATTTTCATGCGTTTTGCAAATGACAGATAGTGTGTTGGTCAGTTTTGTTCAATGAAGAGCACCAGTTTAGAGTTGCAATTAATAATCACAGTATTGCCACAAATTTTATCGAGTGAAAAATGTTATTATGTTTTACCATCTAGATGAGACACAAAAGTTGTACTTAGCCATCTAAACATTAAGAAAGTTTCTGTTGAAATTAAATGCACAGAGCAGCACTGTATTATTGTTATTACTGCTTTTATATGTATCTTACACCACCAACTTTTCTGCGTGTGTCCCTCTCACTGGACATCTTACAGGTTCTGAGAAAAAAATCAACCTTTGTGTCTGTGAGACCTGGCCATTTTATAGAAGGGTTACCTGAGAACATTACCTAAATTGTTCTCAGAATACCAAAATTTGAAGAGTACCAAAATTTTATGAGAATACACAAATATCCCTAGCTTTTCTGTAATGAAGGTATTTATTATTACTTCATCATGTCATTCTTTGTTATTTCCTGTTCTTTTTTTTCTAGGTCCCGTGAAGCTCTTTTTTGCTCTTGCATATTGTGCACCATGGGAAATGTTAAAAAAGAATGTCTCTCCAATCTCTTTAAGTATGAAAATAAATTATATTTAGAGTCAGGAAGTAAAGCAGCCTTTCTGAGTGTGGAGCAGATTTATTTATTTTGAAATTCAGAAAGGCACTGAGTGGGCACCGACCCAGTGAGGACAGCAACTGACCCTCGACTGAGGGACTTGCTCATTGCTGACCTGGGGCAAAAGCCCCCCCCTCTGAGCTCCAGGACAGGGGCAGGTGTAAGTCGTATTGGGGACTGTGCCAGGAGAGGTGCAGGACCAAACATTTTCCTGTGAGGTGCTCGGAAAGTTGACTGAAGTGTATATACATATATATGTATATATATATTTGTGTGAGAGTAGGCTGCATCAAATACTGATGAAGCAGGAGACTTAGAAGCTTACACCCCATTTTAAAAAATGACTCAGGAACAATGTTTTAAAAGTAATGAGACCACTGCAATAGGAAAAGGATGATTTCTAAAACACTCAAACACGTAGTTACCTCGCACAAATGGAAGTCACTAGGAACTGGATTCTTAGCTGGCTTTGCAATATCAGTAAGTGACTGACTGAACTTTTAGACACTAAAATATGTTTGAAAATCTTTCCATGAAAATAAAAGTGAAATTTTAATTAACTGCATTATATGCCAATTATATTTTGAATTATACAGCTCTCTTTACACAATGATCCAAGGCCCTTTCCTCTGCTGTTCTGTAAGGTGCTAACAGGGGTAAGAGAAAAAACACAAAAATCTTCATAAAAAATGTAAAGGAAAGAAAAGCACAAAATGACTGTTAGGTGGCTGCCACTAATTCTGTCTTATTAACTCCAGCATTCCCAAAAGGTAATGGTCAGTGGTTTAGGACTCCTTCTTCAAGATAGATCAAACTACTGTACCTTTTTCGGTCATTTTTGCTTAGACTAAACTATTTTTTTAAATTATTAATGTGAAAATTATATTTTTGAAAGTTTGAACTTTTGTTTTGAAATCCTATTTGAAGTTACGTGACAAGTTTTCCCATTGAACAATTGCTCTTATTTATCTTTTCTGACAAGTCCATGTGCACTCTTATTCATAATGAGATACGGCACAGAGAGATATAGTGTAACAGCTGTTTTCACTTTTGCTGGGACTATTATTGTTGTCTGAGGCATTTTATCATCTTTTGTAGATTGAATTATCTTCTGTTATAATAAAAAAATTGACACAACAAAATTGAGATATTTTGGTCTGTAAAAGAACATATGTATTTTACATTTGCAAGAAGTAACTTCTTCTATCCAGTCGTCAAAATGGAAATTCAGAACTGCCAGGAGCGGTTTTGAGTGATGCACGCTTTCAGCCTTTCTTGGTTTCTTATCAAGGCTCCTATGTAGCTTTCACATGCAGTGATTTCTCAATAATCTAAATAAAATAAGTTTTATCAATCTTCTTTCAAGGATACTCCAAAAATAGTCTACTGACCCAATTCCCTGAAGGTCTGTAGAGAAGTTTGAGAACTACTCATTCTGAAGCCGTGTTTGCCCTTATTCTATGTATTTCCCCTACATAGAAAGTATAGAACTAACTCTGAAATGCCAGAATACTGGCCCACTTCAACCACTGACTATTGCATTAGTAATATGGATATTTTATGTTACTGCAATAATGATGATATCAGTATGGTATGAAACATTAAAAACCATACAAAAATGACATTAAAAATTCTACAAAAATAAAAAAATAAACCCTCCAAACCAAACATTTGAAGAATCTAGAAGGTTAAATGCTTTAAAATTCACATCTTTTGGAATATTTGATTAAGCGAAAGTTCTGAAATAAGATACTTTGGTTCATAAAAGAATATCAATATTTTATATGCACAACAAATAACTTTTTATTTTTACTTAATCCAAAACCAAATTTCAGATTGTTGAAAATTTCCCAGAAAAGGGAAAATCTAGATGTGATCCATTTAATATTGCCTGTCCCAGTTTTCCTCACTGACTCAATGCTGGGCATGTTGAGCTCAGTACCAAAAGCTGAGTGACATAAGGGACATGCACAACTGGCTTTGGCAGCCCCAGCTAGCTGCAAGGCAGCAAAGCACCCATGCGAAATAGCTTACCCAGCAGGAGCATGGGGCCTCATCCCAGGAGATGCCGAGTAACCCCAGAGGTGCTGAGCCCTCTTTTCCCAGCTTGAATTCAGCCCTGGGACATGGCCAGCACTGTGGTGGGCTTGGCAGGCTCAGGAGCACACCAGTCGTATTGCACTTTCGGGGATGAAGCGCGCACCCTCCTCCCAGGTTCAGTGGGAGAGCAGAAGCTCACTTTATCTTTTTCTGCCCATTACTGGGCGGTTCAGGTGTCCCAAGGATGCAAGGAGGGACCTATAACACCTCTGCTGCAGAACAGAGGGACCTATGGCTGAGCAAAGTGGGGAATCCTCTTTGATTTCTCCGTCCCTCACATATTTATGCTCTTGCCATCCGAAATGGGGCCAGAAGTGAGCTGTGCAGCACATCCTCCCTTTGCTGTTGTTTTGAGCAGCTCTCCAGTTTCTCTGGCACAGAGCATGGCTACATCTCCCTCTCCACCATGTCAGCAAGAGCACAACCCATAGGAAGGGAAAGGTATGGCATAAGGAGGCTTTGCAGTTGGTGAAAGCAGAAAGTCTCCCTCCTCTGCTTCAGATATTCTTGTGGCCTAGGGAATAAACCACTATTTTTTTCCCCAAATTAATATGTTACCTCTTTAATGACAAGCCATTCTGCTCTGAGTGCTGCACTTCTGTGAATGATGTGCATGGAACCGACTTCTTCACGCCTGGAAGTAAACAAATGGACTTACATTTTAATTCAAACTAAGCATTTCTTAAAGTCCATATTCTTTACAGTAATATTCATTAAGCTCTTCTATTATACTCTGTGCAAGGAGAAAACTGGCAATTGCATCCAAAGCAATGATAAGTTACCACTTTAATGGTTCCTTACATTGTGAGCAATTTATAAATCACTCGGTATCTTCCCAGCAAAGCTTGCCTTCTGTTTTTAAAATGTACCCGTTCGTATCCAACAAAGGGTTTCAGTGCAATAAGAATTAAGGTGTGTCTCTTAGCTTTTACCTGCAAGCAATAATGATGTTGTCAAGCGTTTCAGGCGAGACCAGCCCAGGATTTTGGGGTGGGGAAAGACACTCTGTTATACAGCATCTTCAGTGCTTCCCTCAGAGGGAGGCAGAGACACCTTGAAGGGCTGAGTATAAGGACATCTACCGAGTGTCTTTTTAAATAGACACCAGAGTTGGGGGGGGGAGGGGAAAAGGAACAGGCTTGTAACCATAACTCAGTTGGACTTGTATCCGAGAAGGCAGATGCCATGGATTGGCTCCCTCACCGAACAGCTGCTTTTCTGTTCCTTTTATCGGTAAGTCAGATTTTAAAACAATATTTGTAAACTCTGTGATTATGCCAGTTGAATCTTCCTCAGCATAGCATTACATTTTACAGTGTAAACTACCCCCCCGAAAAAATCTTGTGAAATTTAGCATAAAGTTGTGCTTATTTTAAGCTGCACTTCTGAAGGTTCTATACAAATAATTTAGTTTTTCATTAAATGCTGACAAACGTTTCTTTTGATTATGACTTTCTGTACTCTGTTGATGTTCAATATGTAACTTTCTATGTTTAATGCATGGCTTTTCAGGTGAATGTTGTCTGTGCCTACTATTTAAGGAGTGACTGTTATTAATAGAAATCTTATCATTATAAAAATCCTAATAACTTGACTGGATATTATTTGGTTCTGTCTTTATTTTTTTATCAATTGTCTTTGGGTTTTTTTATCAATTGAGGGAATATGAAGAGTAAATCTCTTTTTTTAAACTGATTAGTAAGAGCGCTTCAGAGCTGACCAATTCCTACTGCTATATTTAAGAGAAAAATATGAAATTTAGTGCAGACCTTAGCTGAGCAAAAATCAAGACTTGGCTTATTATTTCACATTACAAAGAATTCCTGTCTTGTAGTGAATTAATGTCTGAGCCTCCACGTGCTGAGCAAGTGAATGCATGATGAAAGTGTCGCTGTAAAAGGAAAGTTGTGGCTATAGTCAAGTGGCGTAGTTGTACAATGTGTTCATCAAGGTACGGAAATTATCCAGAAAGTACTTAAAAGAATTATGGAGGCCCTTCTTCTCCTGCAATCCGATTTTTGTGTGGATTATTTTTACTCATCTGTGCTGCTTTTCTAAAATTATGTAGAGGTTTAAGGCCCTGAAGATTGAAAAGAGTAGGATTTCTACTACAGTTACGTCCTTCTATGGTTTTCGTTTTACACAATGTATTAGTAAGTGTAAATGTTTGTAAACTCCTTGTTACTGGTCCCTCTAGAAATGTTATAGTCAGGGAAAAAGTGTTTGTTGTTATAGAATACAAAATCCTAAAACTTACTTTGAAAAGATAATCCATTAATTTTAGGTGGCAGCTCTGCAGTCAGTAAAGTAGAACTAACCAACACAGGGCAGCTGCCAGGCAAACAGTAACAAAACTTGGCAAAAGCAAGCTATGGTTCGGATGAGTTTCTGCCTGTTTAACGCAGAGCAGAGGTCTCTGAGATTGGCAAGTTGCACATCACACTAACACTTCTGGATTTTCATGTAGCATTAGTGACTATTCAGTTTAGTCAGTTACCTGGTGAGGTAACTGATGTGTTGAAGTTCAAAAAAACGTTGACTGCTCTGTATCTAAGATCTGTCCATTCAAAAGCGATTTTACTGCTTTACTTCTCTCGGCAGCTCTGGAGCCATTTTCATTCTTTCAGTATATTATCATTACAATTGTGACTGATGAAGGATATGTGTTGGGTCAGGAAAAAGGAGCAATTGTGAAAACTGCCATTATGTTTTGATGATTATCAAATTTTGAACTTTTACTGCCTAGAGGAAACAATTGTTGTTCTTATTATGCGTGGCCTGTACAGCTTAATAGCATCTTTCAGCGCTTTATAGAAAGCTGATGGACAAACTGTAGGGATTAAATAAATTATAAATTATGTATCCAATTTTAGTGTATTCTGAGAAACAGTCTGGGTTTTCAGCTTGATTAATCTTCCATGAAAATCACCTGTCTGAATGGTGTGTCTGGTTAGTATATTGTTAATAAGTTGTATCAAATAAAATTGCTGTGGAGTTATACATATTTTAGTACACTACTATACTTTCAAAAAAAGAAAACTTACCAGCCCTGAAATTAATAATTTTCTATATGCATTTCACCATTGGTGGGACTGATTCTGCAACCCTTGCTCACGTGACTTCAAAGGCGTTTTTCTCATGAGTAAGGGAGTTATGTTTGTGATACTTGCACAGACATGTTTTATGGAAATAACCTGTTTGATCAGGTATGACTCTTCTCCTGCCAGCAATCATGTGACAGCTAATAATTTTAAATTCACCACATCTCTTACATGCACTGTTGTCTGGCTACATTTTCCCACGTGTTATCTATGCTTTTTTTTTTTTTCCCCCCAGTTGTCAGGCTATGGTTACACCTCCTACTCATAACTTGGTTGCACATAAAAATATTAAGGGGCCAAATCCTCTCCTTGCATATGCATACAAAACATCTGCAAGGATGTAGCCAGGAACCTGCAAGCTCTTCTGCCAAAGAATGTTGTAGAAATAGGAACTAAAGCAATTCCAAATCCAGGAATTATCACCTAAGATTAGGTTTTTAAGTCTGCAGTTTTACATTCCTAAGCAAAAAATGGCCCCTAAGCAAACATGCATTTGCAGCTAGAGCACTCTAAACTATATTAGAATTCAGGTTTTATTGAGGAGATTTACTGAGGAGACTTAGCGTGACTAATTTGAAAAACTCAAATTTGAATGATAATGGCATACACTCTGTATTGAAATTACTTTTCTGTTCATTTTTCTAATGGTTAAGCTCAGTTATTGTATGGAAATTCATTATATCTGTATGACTCAGCAGAACAGAAACAATCTCAGTGGAAGCTTTCCCAAAGTGGTCAGTTCTTTGAATAAACATATTTTAAGATAAATAAACTTTGGAATATATTCTTCTACTGACATAAGCATTGTCATACTTCTGCTGAAATAGCAATGGATTCTCCCTCCTGGGTGCAATACAAAATATTGATGTCAGTATATTCCTAACACAGGAAGCAATAGAAACGTCTGACTTCCACAGAATTAGAAAACAAAATGCCAGAAAAATCATCCTGAAACACTTCCCCTTTAAATTGGAAGAAGCACATTCATTAGTGACCTACAAAAATGAAAAGTATAGACAAAAACATATTCATGTTTCGATTTAAAAGTGATCAAATGGCTTCTTTTTAAAATATGACGTTGTGTCTTATGTTTCAATTCTGCTTCTTATTATTTCATATGCACTGATTTATCATTTTTTAAAGAGATACAGAATGAATAAAGGGAAGGGTTCGTTATTTCAACCCTTTGCTAGTCAGAGCTTTGGCTGAGTAAGAAAGACATAGAAGTCCCAAAACGCTGACACAACCAGAGCTACCATGGCACCCTGATGACTAATATAATATGTGTGAGTTCTCAGCACTCCTCCCATCCAGGCCAATAACAATACCGCTGTTGACTTCAAAGAGAGAGAAGCAGATCCAATATGAATAATGCTGGGAAGATGTTAAAGGCGTGTTCAGTCATTTAGGTTTGAGTAGGTGGAGGAGGGAGGATTCCATAATTGCGTATAATATTGCTTGGCAGTCAATTAATGATTAGTTAATTCTTGTTTGTAAATTGCTTTGAAGGTGCAAAGAACTATACACATCCTATGGGCCTAATTCTGTTCCCAGTTACATCAGAATAAATCCAGAATAACTCCAGTGTGACTCTAAGGTGTCATTTTGGACACAAAGTTCAGGCTCTGTATCATTACAATAAAAGACAAGCTTTCAGAAGGCCACTGTGCAGACGACAGTCACCATAAACATATTGCCTGCCTGCGCCTCTCCCAACTCAAACCAGAAACAGCTTGTGCAATGAGCCCCTAGCTTCTCTGCAGTTTCCATTTTTTCACAATCTCTCGGAGACTAACTGGACAGCAAATCTTGATATCATTCTGATCAGCTTGCCTACCCCAAGGTCCTCAGGATGCATCCCACACATTCCAGTGGCTCCTATTGCTTTAATTATCGTTAATCACCGAATCTATGGAAAGTACTGTACTTGGATACTAGTTTAGAGGGGAAACTTGTTCACTACCTAGAAGCATGCTGGAGTTAGCTGCTAGGAGACAGTATTTCTTTGCTGGAAATAGCACTAGAAAAAAAGGGTTTGCGTCACAGAGAGATACTAGAAATAGACAACTGGGGTGGGGGGAGCCTTCTAACTGCTGGTGGTATTGGAGAACCGGAAAACATTAGTTGGGGAGGCAGAGGAACCTCCATCCCTGGATCAAGTTGGATAGACGTCACTCCAGAATTGTTGAGGTTTAACTGGTGAACTAGGCAATTTTGTCTGGTGTCTGCCTGCCCTCCTTCCTGTAACATGGCAGTAACTGAGAGAGACATACCAAACACAGGCATCAAGTTCGTCGGATCAGCCTTTTCAAATATGACAAATGGTACTAAGGACTCTGGATTCAAAACCATCAAGACTTCTTTCAAGATCTTCCATTAGCAACAAGTAGCAGAATGGGATTTTCCTTAGTTAGCATGGGACAAGTGTGGAAATATGGGGCCTAAATTTACAATCCCCAGCATTGCTGATGAACAAATTCCTGACATTCCCATTACTGGTTCTCAAAAACAAAGGATAAAACTCCAGTGTAAAATGTATATTCTTTACTGCTTGAAACCAGAACTCCCTATAGCCTGAAATCAAATCTTTTCTGAATATTCATGTCCTTAAAGAACAGAATTCTTTACAGGCACAATTCTTATAGCAGAGATGCTCAACACAGTTTTTCAGTTAGGCCTGCTGAGTATGAGAGGGATGTGGCTGGATGTGAGATATTAGTTTCACTGTTAAATAACAGAATAGGCCACAGGATGCAGACAGTAGACAAGATTCACTAACATTGCACTGGGAGGTGTGTACCCATACTTTTCTGGGTCAAGACAATTGCTTGCATGCCAGAAGGGATTTCAACCTAAGGGTGGAGAGGATTTCACTGTACTCGCCCAAGGAGGCTCTGCTCTGCCTGGTCAGAGACGTTGAATCAGTGCTATTTCTGGTGGACTTCATCACTCAGGTTCTCTGGTGAGGGTGTAATCTGCCATTTCTACTCTCCCATGTTTCCCCAAGGTCCAAGGGGGATTATAAAAGGACAGGCCTGAGCTCCCACTGGGGTGAAAAAAACCCCGCAGTTTAAATGGAGTCTGATCTTGTCCCTTCTCTGAGATGAGTAATGGCTGCACATGAATTTGAACCCCATTCTGCAGCTGAAGATTTAAATAGTCACCAGGACATAAACTCAGATTAAAAGATGTATTGATGCTTTTAGCACAACATGAATATAGTGTAATGATTTTCCTGCAGAGTACTTTTCTTAACCATTTTTGTCAATAGCTTGCTCAAAGAACCAAGAAAAAAAAATCCTTACTCCATGAATAGTCCAACAAATTTCAATGTATATGCACACCGAATGGGCAAATCCACAGTCTAAATTCCCTCATTCAGAAGCAGATTAGGGCAGCCATTATGTGCCGAGGTCTCAGGGAATGTTCTGGGCAAGATCAGATCATTGGAGACATTGCTTTGTAAATGACAGATGGTGAACCTCTTAAGGCATATAGGTAAATGGGGAAAAGGGGGAAGAGACAGGAAGGAGGGTGAAGCTGCTGTTCATTAATCTGTTGCATGTAAAATGTTGTTTTAACATGAAGTAAGTGGAAAAAAGTCTCTGCCCATCTTCCAGCCTTGACAGAACAATGCAATAAATTTGAAGTGAGGAAAGTCCCATGAGGTAAAGCTACCATAGAGAAAAAGATTGTCACAGATTTTATCCAAGTATAACTGACATAAAACCCACCAGATAAAACATGTCAGACAAAAAAAAAAAAGCTATTGAATAGTACTGGGAAACGATAAGGAAAGTGGAAAATTGATAACTACAGCTGTTAACCACAACTGGTGAGAAAAGAGAACCTGCAGCACTTTTTGAGTCACCTGGATATTTTATTTCTCCCAATGATGAATGAAGCAAGCATCCAGTCCTGTAAATCCCATATTCTTCACCCTTTATTGTCTGAAAAGAGCAGAGGCAGGTCCTAAACCCAAAAGAGATGCTCTGAAGAGGTACATTCACCAAGTGAACTTCATTTTCACACCTTATTTAGGTACAAGGTTAATTAAACTGTGCCTTCTTTTAAATTATGCTAATGAAGAAATTGAGGATTCTCTATTATTTTAATTTTAATTTTAAAGTAATTACATATTGCATCTGATCCTGCCACCTTTATTTACTGAAGACTTTGGCCACATAGTTAGACCTCAAATCAAAGCCCACTGCACTCCAGGGAAATCTGCCTGATGACTGCAGTTGGCTTTCCGTCTTACATTGAATCTCTTCTTACACTGAATCTCTTCAACCTCAGTGGGAAGCTTAAGAAAACATTTTTGTTCTTTTTGGTTAAACTACATAGGTACTCCAGGTCTACTGTGGACTTTCTAAATAAGAAAAAATAAAGCATAAAGAATACATTCTTTAGAATAAATAAATACTCTTTTTCTAGTTTCCTAGACACATGTTTAGTAACAACTCTTGCAACCACTTCCCTCTTCAGCTGAGGTGTTGCAACCTAAAAACCTGTGTGAAAGCTGTATTTTGATGTAGGTATAACTTGAAATTTGCTATGGCACATCCTTTCAAACTCAAAGTTCTGCCTTGAAAGACACAATTAATTCTGAAGGTGCTAACGTCGAGGAATTCAAGTGATGGATATAGAAAAAAATGAATTGCATAAAGTCATTTATGGAAATCCTGTAGCTACTGCCTAGATAGGCTCTTGCAATAGACTTGAGAAAAAGTACTGCTCCAGTCCTGCAGTATAGCTATGTACGGCAGTTGGGTTTTGCTTACTGCATTTTGCCCTGCATTTTTATATGCCAATCTTTGTATTGTTCTTGCAGGTACTCTTGGATTTCAGCACAGGATTTCATGTAAAGGTAATATATATTTCTTTAGAAACTGATTTACCGATCAAATGAAATGTAAACAATGCAAAAATGAAATGGAAAATACTGAACTAAGACATTTCTGAACATGAAGATTGAAAACATATTTAAATATTAAACAGTTGCAGGTAATAACCTGCTCACCCTCTCAAGAGAAGTTCTCCTGAACCTAAATGAGTAGCTCTTACACAGGAATAATTTTAAAGTAAACATGTACAGTCTTAAAGTTTGGGACTTGCAGACATATAAAAAAGCACATGATCTATAAAATTTTTTTCTTATTGTTGGCAATTCTAAATGTCTGTATTAATTTTAAATGGATTGAGGTTACTGGTCATATGATACTGGAACTCTCTGTCAAAGGTAAAAGAATGGGATGAAAATGGAATGGCAAGATGGAAAACCTTCAGAAGACAAAAACGTGAATGGATCAAATTTGCTGCAGCTTGTAGAGAAGGAGAAGATAATTCTAAGAGGAATCCAATTGCCAAAGTAAGTAGAAAGAAAAACAAAAGTGTTCACTGACAAGGAAGTTTTTCTAAAGACAGGCTGATAAAAGCAGAGAGGTTTAAAAGTATATTTGTTTAGAGTAGTCAAAGCAAGGAATGTAGAATAAAAGAAAGATGATGCAATATTTCCAGCTCTGCTGAGACAGTCTCATAAGGTGAACCCGTGTGGCTGCTGAGGAGTGACCAAAGGTTTCCTAGAACATTGCCATCGGTCTATTTCCCGGACAGCTCCAACTATAGTCTCTTCGTGTGCAGCATCTGTGTGCTAGATCGCGGTATTTTTCTTTTCTCTCTCACCCTGAGAAACCCCTGAGCAGAAGTTCAAGGATAGTGCATGACTTCTGTGGGCAACAGAGCAAAGAAAATGTCTTCCTATCCTCTCACCATGACCGTACCCTTACTGAGGTCCAGCCACAGTGTGATACTCTTAGAAGTTTCTCTCTCCACTTCCCTGCCAGAAGATTTAAGAGAAATAGAAAGCCTGTCCAGCACTTAAGGGGAGGTGGATCTCTAGGCTGACAAAATGTAGAAAAGTCTTCCATTGGTTCTGTCAATTGAACCTTGTGATACGCCATTGAGAAACTGAAATTATATAGAATTTTTTACAGGAACTAATAATAGGAAAAAAAGCCCTGCAGGTGTCCTCAGTAAACTGGCATAAATAATTACTACCTATTCTTGTAGATCCGATCAGATTGTGAAGAAAAGCATCCAATCACATACAGCATCTCTGGAGTCGGAATTGATCGTGCCCCCTATGGAATATTTGTTGTTAACCCAAGAACAGGAGAAATTAATATAACATCAATAGTGGATAGGGAAGTAACCCCAGTATTTGTTGTAAGTACTCCCCTTTTTCTTTTACCTCTATAATGATGGAACCAGGGTGGGGCAGGGAGAGCAGAAGGAGACGAATTAATTTGTTTCAGATTGTTACCTTGCTTACTTCACTTTTGGTTTTAAAATGAGTAAATCTCTTTATCTAGATACGTTGCTTTGCTAAACACTCAGTGACGGGTATAGATTTGGAACCACCCCTTGAACTTCGAGTCAGAGTTCTGGATATAAATGATAACCCTCCTATATTTGCACAAACTGTATTTACAGGATCTATTGAAGAAAGCAGTATGGACAGTAAGTAACTATGTTATGCCTATTATAGTAGAGTTAGTGAAGCTCCCTGAATACAGTTAATATAAACCTGGGGTGCTCATTCTACTTTTTCTTAGGTAATGACATATATTGGCCAGGGCTACGGCAGAGGAAGGAGCGGCAGATGCTTCTCCAAGTGCTATTCAAGCCAGGGCCCAAGCTCATTGCCTAAAATTAAGCAGCCGTGTTTCCTTCTCCCTTTCCTCCCACACATGAACGCTGAATGTTCCAGTTTCTAACCATACCATCATGCAAATTCTTTCAGATGTGAAAATTTAAAATACATCAGCTCATTCCTTCTCATTAAAAAACATTAACATTACACCTACACTTATTTCCTTTGAGGGTATATAAAATACGTTTTTTCCCATTTTGTCTATTTCAAATATTTGTATTTGTAGCCTGTGTATTGCAGTTGCAGTAGAATATTACTAAATAAACCCTTACTTAAACCACTAAAATGGTTCTTTTTACTAAAAGTACAGCAATCAACATTAGAGATGCAAATAGCACTGAGGCGATGGTGCATAATGCTTATTTTCTACTTTCTAGAAATTCTCATTTAAAACTGTGGAGATTTTTTACATGAATATCTACAAGCTCAGTACTTACTCTTTTTACGTAGTCCCTATGGTGACTTAAAGAAGTTCAGTGAAAATCTGTATTACTCCATCTGACCTTAATTTTTAATGCATTTTAAAGTCATTAACATTCAGCCAGAATCAGTACTACAAAATTAAACTTTTGTTTTTCTTTGTAAATATCAATGAATAGATAGCATTCTATCATTTTTATACACCAAGATTTAACATTGTCTTGATGAGTTGTTTGCAGGAACAAAACAGATTTTCTGATTTGCTTTTTTAATTATTATTTTTTTTATTTTTAGACACACTGGTGATGAAAATAATTGCATCAGATGCAGATGAACCTAATCATTTGAATTCTAAAATTGCCTTCAAGATAGAGAGTCAGGAACCTTCAGGTCCACCCATGTTCATTATGAATAAATATACTGGAGAACTCCATCTTGCAAATTATCTTGACAGAGAGGTAACATTTCCCTTTCCAAAGTTAAATAACGTGATGTTGTGGTGTATATGTGTTATGAGAGTGGGGGGGGGAAGAGAAAGGTTGTGGTTTTTGCAAAAATTAAGGGAGAAATGCATTTTTTCTATATGTTACAATAAAATGCCTAAGGCAAATTCCTACATTAGGAAATAGTAGCAAGACGTGAGTATTTATAACATTTAAGACGTACAGGTGGTCCTTCTAACATGCTCATTTCTCTTTCTGTGACAGCAACATAGTAGCTACACTCTTGTTGTGAAGGCATCAGACCGGGATGGAGCTGCAGATGGAATATCATCCCTTTGTAGCTGTAACGTTAAAGTTATTGATGTCAATGACAACTTCCCAACTCTTGCTCAGAGCTCTGTAAGTTTTTAATACCAAAAGTGACATCACTGTTTTAAAACCCTGTTGAAAAACCCAGTTGATAAGAGAGCCCTTACTAACCGGTAGAGCACTTTCACGTTTGAATGCTCCACTGGATTAACAGGGTTGTCTCCTTGAAGCGTGCTCAAAATCCAATCCGTCACTTGCACACCAATTCTGATAACATACACGTAGACTATTTTTGTACTCAGATAAGTCAATCCTGACACTGACTTCTCTGTATCCAGAGAAATCCAGTCATTCAGGTGTCCAGACCCATGCAATATGGCCAGATTACGTAGATTAACCCAATCTTTGTATGATCTTTTCTTATAGAAAGCACAAATCCATTTCCTCTAAACTGCCTCTGCAAACACTTGAGGTGATACAGCTCTTCAGATCTGCAACCAGAATCACAATTTACCCAGAACACATGATTTTTATTAAGTTGGCATGGACTGTGGGCAGGACGTCCTTCAAAAGAATCTCTGCAGTCAGCTGTGTTTTCCTCACATTATATATTTTAGTGTTTGCTAACAGATATTTATCTGTCATTCCAGTTTTCAGCAAGTATTTCAGAAAATTCACTCAGTTCAGATCTGCTACGGATACAAGCTCTGGATGCTGATGAAGAGTTTACAGACAATTGGTTAGCAGAGTTTTTCTTTCTATCCGGTAATGAAGATAACTGGTTTGAAATCGTTACAGATAGAGCTACAAATCAAGGAATCCTTAGAGTAATTAAGGTATGGATAAATATTGTGATTCAACTGTTGAAATAATAATCTTAAAATAGTTTTAATTAACTGTTAACAAAATTAAACAAACAGTAAAAACACTGCCACTCAACCATTTAAAATAGAATATATTTAAATAAAGTTAAAGGAACTTTTATTTATTATCTAGTTCTCTGTGGTTTATCTTTTAGGAACTGAATTATGAATATCTCCAAACTCACTCACTGATTATTGGTGTCAGGAACGTAGCTGCCTTCCACCACTCTGTTGCGCGTGACTTCCAAATGTCTGGAACACCCCTCACAATAGAAGTGAAAAACGTGATTGAACCACCAAGATTTCATCCATCCTCAGTTGTGTTTTCTGTATCAGAAAGCACAAGAGTGAATTATGTTGTGGGAACATACACAGCCATCGATGAGGACACAGGAGCTATTGCATCAAATGTTGTGTAAGCTCTGCTCTGCTTAACTCCCTGGATGGAATAATTCTTTTAATTGAGATTTCAATGGGATGAAGAATAGGTATTTTGAAGGGTGCTTTAAAAAACAACTTAAAAAATGTTAATAGATTAGCAATAGAATAATAGCAATAGAACAGTATATTCTTCAGCCCATTTTTATGCTATGATTGCTTTTGTTTCCTGACCTACTTTCCTTAGGCTTGTGCACAAGACAAAGAAAATATCATTTTTCTAACATGCTGTAACTTAAATAAATGAGAACAGGTTTTTTTTCTAACCCAACCTAAGAATATTTTTTCTTGAAATGTTTGCTACAAATAGGGAATTTGTTAGCATCTCTAAAAAAGCAAGCAGAAAACCTCAGTAATGGGCAATATTATACAATCAGAATAGAACAGGTCACTACCAGCTCATTCTATAATTTAAAAAAAAAAAATTTTACATTTATTTCTACTGAAATTAATGACAATTAATGGGACCATAATTTGCTTTTTAATGTATGTAAAAATAAATACATGCAATTTACAAAGGTTTGAAAAGTTTTCATAAAACAGAGAAATATGTTAGCAAATACAGCTGTAGAATGTTATAGAAAGAGCTGTGGATTTAACTACTGATATCACAAGGGTTCTAGTAAAGGTTTACAGGGTCCAGAAAGATTTTACTTTTAGACTATGATACCACTTTCAAAATATAATGGACTTCTACGCATTTACTTTATTCCTAATTATTTTTCTGGTCTACATCTTTTGAAGTCTACAGGAATTTTGCTTGAACAAGGTGAAATGCAACAGGACCTACAGCAGCCTAAAGAAAAATATTCCAAAGTGACAAATATTGTTTGCAAAATAAATATGCAATATATATATTCATAACATAAAGTATTTTTACTTCACCAAATACAGATATAGTATAGGACGTGATCCAGCTGCCTGGTTCAGAATCAATCAAAACACTGGTGAAATCACACTGAACAAAGTTATTGACCGGGAATCAATCTATGTAATCAATGGGCAGTATAGAGCAGAGGTTCTGGCTATCACCAGAGGTAAGAAAAGAGATTAAGTTTTCTGAAACAAAACTCTCTTTGTTCCAGATTTCTCTCCTTTTTTTTCCTCTTTCTAGTTTTCCCACTTGAACTGCATTATTTATAGTATCAATATTCTCTCCTGACCACAAATATCTTCTTTTTACAGGGGTTACTCGATATACTGCTACTGGCACCATTGTGCTTTCAATACAAGACATCAATGACAACTGCCCAACTATTAATACTGAATTAAGGAAAGTATGTATGCATTCCCCATCAGTGATTATCACAGCAAAGGATAGGGATGGTGACCCATATGGTCCCCCCTTTACATTCAGCATACATGGTGAACCTCAAACTACATGGATTATCAGATCAATAAATGGTAAATTAACCTACATTTTATAACAGAATAAACCACAGTAATAAGCTCTTATCTAAGATAGCAGATTAGGATAACCTTTTAATAACAAAACAGTTATTAGAATCTATTCTAATCTCACTTAAATGTGATTTTATGCTCATGAATCCAAGAAGTTGCTCTGGATTTGCACATATATATATATAGCTATATAAATCATATCAGAAATAGAAACAGAATCATTACGTGTTTTATCTAGTTATCATCTTTTAAAGGAAACTACAAATATACTGATAAAAACAGAGCAGCAAAACTGTACTTTACTTGAGTATAGCTATGATAAGCACCTCTATTGGTCTAAACCTGATGAGGTAATTCAAAAGGAGTAATTTGATACCTTTTTATTTCTATATTATCTAAAAAATTCTAAGCGTATGACAAAACTCTCAAATTTATTTATTAGATTATAAAGTTATTAGTTGGCAGAGCTTTACTTTTATGAGAGGCATATGAAAATGGCAAATAAAGATTACAGCTTTTGCAATTTATTGTACAAATTGTACTTACTCGTATTTCTAAGAAAAACATTTTAGTCAGTGCCCAGTGGAGCTTTTCCAGTTTCCTCCAGTAAGACATGACAAACTAATGAATTAATCAAATCTCATACATTACTAAATGACAGAATTTGCATAACTTACTATATGCATAGAAGACTATATTAAATGGTAAATATCACAATTATAACTACTCTTGTGTCTCCTATTTGTCCTAAACAGATGAAAATGTGTAACTTTAAATATTTTAAAACTACTGAAAAAAACGTTTGAAAAACACATGTAAATTCCTTGTGAGAGAAACAAAAACCTTATAAAATTGCAATTTTTATGTTCACAATTGTGCAAATAAAAATCAGGAAAAGCAGCAGTAGATATAAAAAAGTGCATTTGCCCCTTTTATATTTCTCGGGTTAAAAAGTGATGACTAGATTGATCTGGCTCAGGTTTTCCAAAAGAAAAAACTAGCATAGATGAATATCATAAGTTTCAGCTTTGAATAAGTACTGTAGACGCATAACTAACTGAAGATCTTAGAATGGGAACACTTAGTCTTCTTTCTGTTCTATGAACATTACTCACAAACATTATAGATTTGTACAGTATTTCTAGTAAATACTATAATCTAAATATTTTTCTCTTTTTTTTCCCCCGAAGCTTCCTCTGCAGAACTAGTGAGTCAGAACATTGACTTTTACATCTATAGGATCTATGTCAGTGTACGAGATAACCAAGGCCGACGCTGCCTTAAACCACATATAATTCCTGTGCAAGCTTGTCAGTGTGATAGTCGTAATTACTGCACCCGTGAGGCCACGGAAATAATTATCATTGGTGGCGGTGGCAGTGGCGGCGGCGGTGGTGGTGGCGGTG